CAGCATCGAGCATGGACAATGTAGTTGGGGCGGCAGCACCCCAAATGTGTGAGCAATACTCGAGGCTAGGCCTTATCTGGGCCTTGTATAGAGTGAGAATGTCATGCGGAGAAAAGTACTTCTTAGCCCTAAACAAATAGCCTAGCTTTTTCCCAGCAGCTGCAGCTATTGAAGAGATGTGTTCGTGTCAGATCAGGTCCTCGGTGATCTGGACTCCGACCAGCCGAAATGAATGGTTCTTTGGTAGAACTCGACCGTCCATCGAAACTGTATGAGCGCTAGGACGCTTTTTGTCCGTCAAAGTACAGTACTGTGTTTTGGAAGCATTGAACTGTACAAGATTGTTGCGTCCCCAAGCAGTGATAGCCTCCAGATCTCTTGTCAGAGAAGAAGTCGTCGCTAGTCTTCTTTTTTCCAGCTCAGCGGCAGAGATCGGCTTGTCACTCTGAATTCCTGCATGTAGAGTGCTGTCATCAGCGAAGCTGTGGATTGGGTTGATCGTCCAGGAAAGGAGGTCGTTGATATGTAAGAGAAAGAGTGTTGGAGCCAAGACCGATCCCTGGGGAACACCCGCGTTGACGTTGTGGGATGAAGAGGAGAATCCGTCAATTACGACGGATATCTTGCGACCAGAGATAAAGTCAGCCACCCATCCGCAAAGCTTTCTGGGAGGCCATAGGATGGAAGTTTGCTTAAGAGGGCAGCGTGCCACAGCTGATCGAACGCTTTCGTGATGTCAAGAGCAACGACATGAGCCTCACCATGAGACTGGATGAGTTTACTCCACAGGTGCGTGACGTAAGCTAGGAGGTCCCCTGTGGATCGTTGGTGCCGGAAACCGTACTGCCTGTCGCTAATCAAGCTGTGACGTTCGAGGTAGTCCAGAAGCTTGCGATTTATGCACCTCTCCATCACTTTACTTATAACAGAAAGCAGAGCTATAGGGTTTTATTGTCCTTCCATTAGCGCCAAAAGTTGGTTTTCCCACGCGTTCCAAAAATTTCCTTATTTCCCGTTGCAGTTTTGTCCGTCTTTTTCTTCAACTCGGTCTTCATATTTAGGATTTTCTTTTTTAGTTGTTTTTCAGTTAAATCCCTTCCAATTTGCAAAATATATTCTTGGTGGATTTCTTTGTATGCTTGTTCTTTTTTCTCTTTTATTTTAGGGATTTGCGATTTATTAAATATAATATTATAGCTTTCCAAAATTTCCATCAATTTCAGGTTGGAGGAAATTTTTGCAGGAACTTCCTCCGTCAAAAAATCACTTGTAGAATTTTCTGAATCACTACTCATTTTGAACGTAAACCCATAGCACTCGGTAATGAAACCGGTTTAAAAAATTTTTATGTGCTCGATATTTGCCTTTGTCGATTTGCACATCGGCAGTTAAAATTTGTCCATACACATGCACTCATCGACAGGTCTGAGACTGCAGTTCCACAGAATTTCACGGCCGACTGATTAGTCATGAAAATATAAATATAGGCCTTATCAGTATACAAAATTTTTTTTTTTGGATGATTTACCAAATAAGAACTTTAAGTAAATACTTGAAATATCTAGCTTTTGCTAGTAAGTAAAAGCAAAAGGTTATTCACTTCAATTTCAGCAAATGCTATTAGCAAAGGCTAAATCTACCTAGTGAAAGCTAAAACTTATACTTCATACTAAAAGCGAAAGCTAAGTTTTTATTCACTCCGCCCATTGACACGCCTGGGCATGGAGCTGATGAGGTTTTCGATATTCTGTTAGGTCAGGCCTCTCTTACTCAGGTGCCACCAGTGCAGCGTCGAGCACCGCTCGCATGACAGTGCTGCGTGGTGATTCCGTGAAGGTGGGGGAGGGATTAGGCAGCGGCATACGCATCGAGAATAGAAATGACTCGGAAGCGGGTGGTATTGAGTATACCTTCATCGCTACATTTAGTAATGATATGTAGTTTTTAACTAGATGAACAAGAAGAGCTCAGTAAGCACCTGTCATACCGACTTAAAAATTATGCGTGACAAGAGAATTTCACCGTTCTCACCGAATCCAATGAAGCCTACAAGGTTTGATGGACAGTTTAGGCTCATTTAGAAAAACTTGGTATGACAAACTGATTTCCGCCAGAAGTTTCTGTCGTACCGACTGAAAGCTATAGCAGGCAATGCAAATAGATAAAAATAATACATGCTGTTTGTATGCATTTAAATGCTCATTTGAGTCTGTCAGTTTAACTGCTTCTAGATATTTGAAGGTATATGTAAAATGAATATGAAACGTCATGACCGTTGATATACGTATAGGTTATGGTAAAGTCCTACTGTCAAGTTGTATCTTCAAGTCGATATGACAGGTACTTTCATCGGCATACCAAGCCCTTTTTATTCATTTACTTAAAAGCCACATATTATTACTATTATTATTATTATTATTATGATAATTGAGATGAGCAGAGTACACAGTACTATAAGCTCATGCAGTAAATATAGTGTACGGACACGTAACACAAATACATCAAATAGAAAAAAATAAAAAAAGACAGTTAATAGCTATAAAGTTTGTACACTCCTCCAGCTATCATACTGCACTTTGAAGCTATTAACTGAAGTAGCACCAACCACACTTTCAGGTAAACTATTCCAGCTGTTGAATATGCGGTTGGGAAGAAACCACTGTCGGACTGTTGTTTTAAATGCCTCCTTATGCAGTTTGAAGCTGTGTCCGCGTAGATTGCTGCGCGACAGACGGTATAGATGCATGAGGTTGGTGCCCATCAAACCATGAAGTATCCTGAACGTAACTATAAGATCGCCACGAAGTCTTCGCTCAGAGAATGAGGTCAGGTTGAATAATTCAAGGCGATCTTCATAGCTTGGTCTTCGTGCTCCAAAAGGGATGCGAGTAGCCCGACGCTGTACTGATACGACGAGATTTCTATCGCGCAGAAGCACAGTGTCCCATACCGGGCCAGCGAATTCAAGAATTGGCCTCACGAACGCCTTGTAAATGTAGGCGGATCCTTTGAAAGACCTCTCCAGCATGTATAGAAGTTTATTGGCTTTTGATGTAACGTGGTGAATATGCTCTGACCAGGAAAGACGATCGTTGACTAGAACGCCCAGATCAGTGTGGCTGGAAACTGCTTCGATGTTGTGGTCAGAGATCTTGTATGTAAATCGCGGATTTGTCTTCCCGAGGTGAAGGACACAACACTTAGTTAGATTTAAGGGTAAAAGCCAACTGACTGACCATTGACAAACAATATCAAGATCTCGTTGAAGCATAGCAGAATTTACGACAGTATTGTAAATCTTGGTGTCGTCGGCATAAGCTGAACATGTGGAGGAATTCAATGCGAGCAGGTCACTTGTATACAGAAGGAACAGCACTGGCCCCAAAACAGAGCCTTGAGGAACTCCACTTGCTACATGATGAAGGTGAGACTGGCTATCACTGACGTGCACAGAGAAAGTCCTCCCGGTGAGAAAATCCTTAATCCACAGTAACAACTCGCCTCTTATTCCCATACATTCCAACTTAAACAGAAGCCCTAGAAAAATCTAAGTAGATTATATCAACAAGAGTCTTTGTGTCCAGATACTGAGTCCAATCGTTGAGAGAGTGGAGAAGGTTGGTCATTATTGATCGACCAGGGAGAAATCCATGCTGATTCTTAGGGATAAGGTCATTTTCGAAAGCAAATGACAGGAGCTTATCTAATATTATTCTTTCAGCTATTTTGGCGGCGATAGGAACGAGACTTATTGGTCGATAGTTTTTAGCGGCGGATTTGTCGCCCTTTTTGAATACAGGGGTAACAGTAGCACTAAGCCAGCATGAGGGTAGGGTATGAGATCTAAAAGACGATGTGAATATCAAGCTTAATGGTAGGGCCAGTGTTGAAGCGCAGTTTTTAAGTACAGCAGCCGTCATCCCATCTTTACCAGGGGAGGAAGAGGTCTTCAGATTTCGCAGGTGCATTAATACATCTTGCTAAGTTTAGTCGAATCCGCGATAACGTTTAATTTCGCCGGCTCCCAGCCCAAACGGAAAATCAGTGGAGCGACATTCGTATTGACATTTGAATTGGTCTGATCGAGTCAATGCGCGGGTGATAAAATAATGTTCATTTCGACGTAAACACATTTATTCTTAAGATGATCTTTGACAGCGTTTCGATTCAACAAGTTTTCTAATATTTGGTACAGCGGCTTGAGCAGTGGAAATTCTGAGTATCGCCTCTAAGGACACATCAGAGAAAGACCTCCTTTAGTTTTGTTCAAATTCGTTAAAGAAAACATCTGCCCGCAAAAGTACGTTGGAGCAAGTTTCCAAGGCCAGTGCAAGAATTTTGGGAAAATCTTGCTGCTTAACACTTTGATAAAACGAAATTAACTCACTATTGTAGTGGTAGTATCTATCCTTAAGGATAGTATCGCTTTGAAACTTAATCAGCTCCATTTGGAACTGCGGCGATTCCATTTCGAAAAGCACTAAAGATGGCGTCGTAAAAATCTCATTTGCATAAACATCTGGACGTCGTCAATGATTTGAAAAAAATGTTTAGCACTTTTGCGCAGCATAACCAGCGCGTAACACAATAAGAGGGTATATCACCGTAAGTTGCTTCCAGGTCTTTTAGAAATACTTCAAACTACCATGGTTGAGACCGTACTTTTTGCAGAAATTGACACAGATTATTACTACATATATAGTAGATTTGAAATTACGGAAGGTTTTTGCACATAGTTGTTCCTGATGTAATATGCAGTGTACCGATGATATCGGAGGTAGCCCAGCGTCGCGTACTTTTATTTTCATTCGCCCAGTAAGTCCTTGTGCTTCCGATAACATTGCTGGTGCTCCATCAGTAACAACACTACGCAAACTTTTGAGTAGTCTACATATGTCATTCATTGTGTATTCTACAGCATCAAAAATATCTTCTCCGGCCATTGTATCATTGGGCGGGATAACGACTAGTAGTTCGTCGATGATAGTAAAGACTATTTCGATACCTCCCACGAAAACCGCTAATTATGCTGTGTCAGAAATGTCTTTACTTTCATCGAGAGCTATAGAATGCTGCATAAAATGTGCACATTTTCCCTCAGTTATTCTTTTAAATCTGCACTGAAGTTCAAGTATCCGACGAGGAATTGTTTGCTCGGACATACTAATTGTCTCAAAGTTGCTTACAGGAGATGGGCACAATATTTCTGCACACTCCACTAAGCATTCTTTGACAAGTGCACCATCAGTAAACGGTATCCCACTTTTAGCGATTTTCAAAGCAACAATATAACTTGCATTACGATAACATTAATAATAATCAACTACGACCAAATTAATAATTACCTCTATGTAAAAAATTCTTGAATTCTAATAAATATACGTATGTGTTTACCTTTTTTTATCACTCGGTATATAATTTATTTTCCATGGTTACACAGAAGAAAATGAGAAACTCAACTTGTTTTGGAAACCCTGGACACAAGTCGCAAAAAGTGCTCATCAGAAAAAGAAAATTGGATGCTACTACTTTGGTATTGATACAGCATAGTTATGGAAAGCATCTGGCTAGAGGTTATCCTTTATAAAGAAAAATTATTCACCGGTGTCATTTACTGATCTCCATCCAAGCCCTTTGGCATTTTGTTAACGTATGGGACTCCGTCCCGCCTTTGTGCATCTGTAAGTACGATAACCATTAATATACATGTATATGTAGACAAATATTAGTTTAATCAACACCCCGATATTCAATAAAATGTAAAAGAAAAACATAATACATGAGTATACGCTAATAAACGTTGATAACTTATCTTCGTTAAGATAATCTTCTTTTTGAAAATTACAAGTGCATACCTTCATAAATTGTTTAGCTGGCTTTCCAATTTGCAGTTTCAAAATCCACACCTTTCTTTTTTCAACCAGTTGTTTTCCCATTTCGGTTCCAAATAAACCCTTTGTCCGTTCTTTGGGGGAAATTGCTGAAAGTTTAATTCAATTACGGCATCCTTTTTAGCCCAAGAATTGCATTGCGGAACACAGCAGTAATGATTCGAGGTCATGATTGTGACCTTCTGACAGTAAACAATAATATTTAAAATAAAAACTGGTTATTTCAACGTAGAATATCGCCGTCAGTGAAAATTTGCATCTAAACAAATTGAACAATAGCGAATTAATGTATAACAAACTAGTTTCCAGATGGCGTAGCGCTTATCTTGAATCCCGAATAGTACTTTATAGGCTCTCCCTGCGGACATTCATCAGAAAATTTCTGCCAAAAGGGCTGCAATTAAGCAAGCGAAAAGGTGAAATTCCCAGAACGACGAATCTTGTTCATGAAGTAAGAAATGCTCTCCATGAATTCCGCAATGAGCAGTGGAACGATTTTCTGGCGGGAATGCTTGACTCAAGCACTCCTCTCTGGAAAGTGGCGAAGTCGCTCAGAAACGGAAAGCGAGAACAACTCCCGCACATCCACGGTCCTGGGTGCGTAGTCTTCAGGGCAGAGGACAAGGTCGAGATTTTCGCTGATGCTATGGAACGACAGTTCTCTCCCAACTATGATCTTGATAATGATCTCGACGAGGAGCAACAAATTGTAAGATCCGTCAGAAGATATTTTAGGGCCAACGGCGTCAGTCATCCCGGTGCCGCCATTAGTGATTCTTCCTCAGAAGATTCTCTTTCGGCAGATTCTTTAGCTGAAGAGTTGCACAGCACATCAGCGGCTTCTCCCGAGATCCCGCATTGGACACCAGCAGAGCTTCAAGTTCATATTGAAGACCTCAAGGTGCGTGAAGCGCCTGAGAAGGATCAGATCACCAATAAGTCGCTGAAGCTGCTTTCATGGAAGTCCTTGACTTATCTTGTGACTACTATCAATGACATGCTAATGACCCAGTACTTTCCATCGAACAAAAGTACTGGCATCTTGCTTCTGGATGTCTCAAAGGCATTTGACAAGGTGTGGCACAAGAACCTTCTCTACAAATTGATCCATAAGACCTTCCCCTTCTGGCTCCTAAAACTTTTGAAATCTTTTCTCGAGGGTAGGAAATTTCGGATCAAAATTAATAATTTCTTATCTACAGTACGGCCCATCAGGTCCGGCGTCCCTCGGGCCAATCCTTCACCCACTTTTCACGCATGATGTCCCTTGCCCTTTTTTTTTTTTGGTGAGGGGGGAATGCGTTTACGCACCATACCATAGCCTGAGCTACGGCGTGTGTGGGACTCCAGGTTGTCTTGAGGAGACCACCTAATACCCACTAAACCCTAACCTCCGCGTGGCCCGACTCATCAGCGTCTCGGTAGGCCATGTGTTGTGCGTGACCTGCGGTCTGCTACAACGTCTCCTCATGTGTTTCAGTCTCTGGGAACGCCGGGTTGGTTCCCTTTACCTCGCACATTCTATCGATGTCGTTAAGCGATCATCGATAGAGGGTCTGCTAGGTTCTCTTGAAACCCTTGTTTTCGAAAAATCAAGAGTTTCAAGTCCTCTTACCTATTGATAGAATTTTGGTGATAAGATAAGACAAATAGCAAAACACAGACCACGACAGGCTCCGTACTATTCGAGCGGTACGCACAGACTGGCCTCGATCGACCACCGGCGTGCCGACCGTGGGCGGTCGGGGTTGTATTTACTAAATTTGTCTGTCAAAAATTAACGTCCGTAATTTCATTATTTTGATTCTAACACGGCCAACCTGAGTACAAAGTCGTTCTCGACGTTAATTGTATAACAGCCTGATTTGTAGCAACGAAGTAAAGACAAAATACTCAGAAAGAAAATATTCTTGTATTAAACAAATTCAGAAATTAGTAACATTATAACAAATAACAAACATCGCAAACAATAATAACAGACAACGTAATCATTCACTCCTTGCTTCAGTTCCATCTGCAATCTCTGGTTCTTCCTCACTGAAACAATACCACAAAGTCAAACTTGACTTTATAAACAATTACATTAAGTAAGAATGCATAACGCACCAGATAAATACATGCAGAGCGTAGCAAGATTTAAAACATAAAACAATTGCGTGCAACGCGTACCAAGCTTTAAACAACAGATAGACACATGCAAAGCGTAGCAAGCTTTTAAAACATGAAAAAAAATTGCGTGCAAAGTGTACCAAACTTTAAACACCAGATAAGCACATGCAAAGCGTAGCAAGCTTTAAAACATGAAACAATTGCGTGCAAAGCGTACCAAGCTTTAAACACCAGACAAATACATGCAAAGCGTAGCAAGCTCTTAAACATGAAACAATTGCGTGCAAAGCGTACCAAGCTTTAAACACCAGATAAGCACATGCAAAGCGTAGCAAGCTTTAAAACATGAAACAATTGCGTGCAAAGCGTACCAAGCTTTAAACACCAGATAAATACATGCAAAATATATTTCTGACGTCACAAACTACATTCTAACACTGGCCAATATCCAGACTACTTACTCATCCTCTAAATCTTCAAGAAGCTCCTCCATGTTCACAGTCATAGACCAATCGCTAGGCCAACTCCTCAATTGTTCTTTAGCAGCCTTAGTCACAAGAGATTTACCAACTCTCTTCATTTCATATCGACCTTTTGGTGTGATACCCCCAATTTCAAAAGGTCCCTGGAATTCATACTTCAATTTACCTTGGTGCATCTTATCATCACGGTGCATAAGGACAAAATCTCCAATGCTGAAGGTTTTGGTATTTCGGCGTTTTTCATTCTCCTTGATTTTAGCCTCTGCTAACGACTCCATACGATCCTTCATTCTACTACGATCGAGTTGTAAATTTCTGATTGGCTGTAGATCAGAACTTAAGTTAGCCAGCAAACTTTGGATGAGTGGAGTAGAACCATCAATGCCAATTAAAGCTCGAAGTGGTGTTGTTCCTATTGACTTCTGCACAGTCGTATTCAAAACCAACTGAATTTTCCATAAACCACTCGACCATTCTGACCGAACTTTTGTTTCAATTCGCAGAAGATTCATTATTGTTCTCATATATCTCTCTACTTGTCCATTGGACCTGTGTACATCGGGGGTAGTATAATGGTAACTGATGCCCAAGGAGTCCAAGTATTCTGGGAGGCTCAAGTTCTTGAAGTTTTTACCTGCATCCATAATGATTTGCTTCGGCGTACCAAACAGAGATATGAACAACTGAAAAGCTTCTTTCGTTTCGCAGGCTTTGACAGTCTTCAACGGCAACAGTATGCAATACTTTGTAAACGCATCGATTAATACCAAAATGTGCTTATGTCCCTCGTTTGTAGTTTCTAAGGGACCTAAACAATCGGCATGAATGATGTTCATGGGCTCAGACGGTTTTTTGACTCTTGTGACGAAGCCCTGTAATGGACCAGACCTAGTTTTCTTCACAGCACAGATGAGACAATGCTTTATATACTTTGTAACAAAGTATCGCATACGTGGGAACCAAAAGTGTATTTTTATTGATTCTAAGGTTTTGTCAATGCGAACGTGACACTGTTCATCATGAAATATCCTTAACAAGCCCAATCTGCTTTGTCGGGGTACAAAAGGCTTGGAAACGGATCCCTCAGATGTAGATATATTGTAATGTAGTATATCATTTTTGACAGAATAACGAGTTTTGTCCAAGCGCCCTTCCTTCCAGTCATCTAGCAATCTTTTAACCTCATTATCTCCACGTTGCTCAATATATAACCAATTGTTATATTTCTTCAGACAGCGAATTACGGGATTCCTGCTCAAAAAATCTACATGTGGCAATGAACACCCTTTTTTATAAACTATATCAAAATCAAAATCCTGCATGTAGACCCACCAGCGAGCTACTCTTGGTAGGATGTCCTTCTTTGCTGCTGTTGATTTGATAGCGTTACAATCAGTAACCAACGTAAAGGGGATACCGAGGAGATAAACCCGGAAATACTTCATGGAGCTTACCGCGGCAAGAGTTTCTAATTCATAAGAATGATATTTTTCTTCATACTTGTTGGTTTTTCTACTGAAGTATCCAATAACACGTAAATTTCCGTCTGGCTTTTGGATAAGCATCCCTCCGTAACCAATACTACTCGCATCTGTGTGTAATTCGGTAGGAAGTTCAGGATCGAATACGCTGAGGAGTGGTCGCGATGTCAAATATTCAATTATATACCTTCTAGCAGATTCTTGTTCTTCACCCCAACAAAAAGGCACGTTTGATTTGGTAAGTTTAGTGATAGGTGCAGTACGGGTAGCAAACTCGGGTATGAATTTCCGAAAGTATCCGGCTAAGCCCATCAACTGTCGGACTTGTTTTAATGTGGTAGGTACCGGGGATCTTACCAGTGCTTCTACCTTTTGTGACCCAGGAGATATGCCTTCTGCAGATATTTCTCTGCCCAAATATTCTAATTTGTTCTGAAGAAAATGACACTTTTTCAAGTTCAAACTGAATCCTGCATTTTTGAGTGCTTGCAATACTAGATCCAATGATGCCAAATTTTCTTCAACAGTTTCGGACGGTATCAGAACATCGTCAAGGTATACCAGTGCTACCGTATTCCTGAGATTCCCCAATGCTTTATTTATTGCCCTTTGAAAAACTGCCGGGGCATTGGCTAGGCCAAATGGCATGCGTAAATATTCGAAGTGCCCGTCTGGCGTTACGAATGCAGTCTTATGAACTGATTCAGAATCCAATGGAATTTGATGAAATCCGGAAGACATATCTAAGGAGGTGAACACTTTGCTCTTTCCCAAGCGATCCAATTGGTCGTCTATCAACGGCAAGGGGTATCGATCCTTGATTGTATGTTGATTGAGCGCACGAAAATCAACACACATTCTATAAGAACCCTCCTTCTTTTTGACGAGTATTATGGGGCTGGCAAAAGGCGATTCACTTTCCTGAATGATACGGTTATTTAACAGGTCATTAACAATGTCTTGAACAATTTTCCTTTCATTTATTGATAATCGGTAAGGGCTTCTATTAACAACGAAGTCATCGCGAAGTCTTATGTGCATTGAGGTGTTATTTACACAGGTGACAGCGTTTGCACTAGCCGCTACAATGTCTCTATAATGGGAAAGAAGTTTCAACAATTTGGACTTGTGTATATCTGGTACATCCACCTCAAGATCTTCAGCATTCGGCAAGATATCAAGAACTCTAGCAACTTTGTTCTTGACAATTTTGGTACCAGCATAATTTGTGATTGTCACGATGTCGGGATCGTCATAAAGATTGCAGCCCACCAATACGTCGTTTTCGAGAAAACTATCAGGCACAACAATGAATGTGAGTTCTGTTCTTACACCGGACATCTCAAAGTCAGCAATTAACGATTTTTCAGAAACATAACAGCCAGGTAATACACCGCTAATTGTGGTGAGAGTGGGTATTAGTTTATCCTGAAACTTTTCAGCATGTTTTCGAGCGATTAATGAAATATCAGCACCCGTATCTACAATGCCTTTCATCGTTATTCCATTGACCGTCATCACCTCGGTAGTACCTGATTTACCACTACTGCAACGATTCACATTACGGCGTTTCTCGATCCCCTTTTTTATAAAACAATCATCAATTTTATGTCCACTTTTAGCACAGAAGGAACACACTAACTCAGAGGTTACCTTAGATGACTTCAAATAATTTGCAGGAGATGAATTTTTCTGTGTTTCGTCATTTTTATTAACTTCAATGCAAAATTTCTGGATATGACCTCTTTTTCCACAATTATAACACATGAGTGGTCTTTTGCGTTTTCTACCATCCTCGATGCTCTCACGGAACCGTTTACGGGGCGGTTCCCTTATTTCCGAAGTTGTATTATCCGCCCTTGACTCTCCGGAACGACATTTCGGCACTGATCCTAAATAAGAAATGAGATCGGATATTTTTTTATGATTCTGATTGCCGGCAGTGACACGCACGTCACGTTCCATAATTCCGTGGATGATTATCTCAACAAGATCTGTCTCGTCCCAGTGTGCCCGTAGGTTTCGAAGCAGAGTAACTTTCTCAAAGACGTACGCCTCGTACGTATTGCAGTTGTGACTATTGAATTGAGCCGCTTTCAGAAGTAATTCACCCAAAATTTTTTTTGGGTGGAAACGCCTCCAAAAAGTCACGTACAAAAGTGTCCCAGTTTTTTACATCTGGTGCCCAGTTTTCAAACCACGTTTTAGATATTCCCGTTAAAAATCGACCCAACCTCACGATAGTCTGTTGGTCAGACCATTCAAATTCACTTTTTATACTTTCTACCTCGGCCAGCCATTTTTTTGCATCGCTCAAATCTGGTCTGAAAATTGGTAAATCTACTTGTTCAGGTGCTGTGCGCGATGATTTGAGAGCCTTAACTAGCTCCGTCAGAAAATCCTTGGTTGAGGTACTAGCACCAAGCCCTTCCATGATGATTTATTTATTTACTTATCTTTTACCTGTAAGTGTAAACACAAACTCAGAAATGGACCCGACTGACAAAATCATATAACAGCAAAGAGACCTAGCTTGTATAGCAAATCGTGTTAAAAGAAAATATTTCTGGAAATCCATTCAATATGGATATGCGCTTGTTGCACGTGTAGAAAATCTAAATGAATAACATAATCTTCCGATTCAATTATTGTACCTACAATATACTCCACTGCTGCTTCCTTTTAATTGCCAATTATAAATGAATTGTGATTCAAGTGTGGTTAAAACAATCTCATGCAATGGTATTGTTGTTCTTTTTTTTTTTTTTTTTTTTTTTTTTTTTACTTAAATGTATTTTATATCAATAATCCTTAATCAACCATGCATTACTAATGTCAACAGTTAAAAAAAAAACAAGATTCTCACAGCAAGACGTGCCCAAAACAATTCCATATATGCTTTATTTACATCACCGAACCGACAGACGCTATGAAATGTGTAATCAGTTCGTCTCTGATTATATCTGGTATGTATGTACAACCAATACGGCGAGTAACAAAAATAATAACAGCAAAAAACAAAACAATGGCATAGAAAAAATAACTGCCACAATAACAGATATCCTGCTGCATTCAATATACATAAACATTGCAATAGGACTTACAGCGTGGACGCAGATTCAATCCCACTTCTGATGATAGAATTTTGGTGACAAGATAAGACAAATAGCAAAACACAGACCACGACAGGCTCCGTACTATTCGAGCGGTACGCACAGACTGGCCTCGATCGACCACCGGCGTGCCGACCGTGGGCGGTCGGGGTTGTATTTACTAAATTTGTCTGTCAAAAATTAACGTCCGTAATTTCATTATTTTGATTCTAACACTATATATTGTTCCTGGTCCTGGTCCTGAAGGGTCCTGGTCCTGGTGGGTCCTGGTCGTGGCGGGTCCTGGTCCTGGTTGGTCCTGGTCCTGGTCCCGGTGGTTCCTGGTCCTCTGCATCCACGCCGTGGGGGGGGGGGGGGGGGTGAGCAACCGCGGGTTCTCCTAGTCCCCTAGTCAAGGTTCCAGTTAGCGGGTGCCAACTGGGACCTTGGTCTAGGGTACCTGGTTCTGCGCTTGCGAGGCCTCTCGTCCGGATCGTAGTTCATGCGGAATCGTAGTTGCTCGTTCGGGTGGTGCTGAGCTTTCTGGAAGGTCTTCTCCGCTTTTTTCCTCATGTACTCGTGAATGGTGTCCCAATGCAGGTATCTACGCAAGGTTGAGTTTCTTACGTAGGATGGTGCACTGGTGGCGATCCGGAGTAGCTTCATCTCTAGAGCAGCAAGTCGCTTGGGGTAGCTGGGGGCAGCGTACCCCAGACCGCGGAGGCGTAAGCGAGCTGAGGTCTGGCGATGGCCTTGATCAGCCGTAGCTTGGTCGCTAGCGGCATCCGGCTGTGTCTACCCAGTAATGGGTAGAGTTGAGCCATGGCTGCTCTGGTCTTTGCGATGACAGCTTCTATGTGGGCTTTCCAGGTGAGGGACTTGTCAAATATGATCCCCAGATATTTGACTTTGTCGCTCCACTGGATATCTTCGTCGAAGATGGATGCTTCGAGAGGTCTTGCAATCCTTCTTCGTTGGATGAAGATTGCCTGCATCTTCTGGACGTTGATGCGGATTTTCCATTTCACGCACCAGTCCTGGATGTGGTCCAGTTCATCCTGTAGTCTCCTACGGATGATCTCGGGACGTCGATGCTTGGCAGCTATAGCAGTGTCGTCTGCATATAGGGCCAGCATTGTGTCAGCTGTCTTCGGCACATCGTGAGTATAGATGTTGTAGAGCAGGGGGGCTAAGGCTGACCCCTGGGGCACGCCTGCTTCCAGCTGTCGTCTTGTTGAATGGCATGTATCAATCTTCACCGTGAACCATCTTTGTGTTAGATAGCTCTGGATCAGTTGGCACATGTTCGCATCGACTCCGGCGGCTTCCATTTTAGCGATGAGTCCATCGTGTCAAACTCGATCGAAGGCTCGTTCCACGTCCAGCAGGACGAGGCCGGTTGCCTCCTGGAGATTGAAGCCGCTGGTGATGTTTTCTGTCAGTCGTAGCGCATGGAGTTCCGTGTTGTGGGAGGATCTGAAGCCGAATTGCTCTGGAGGGAGAAGTTGCAGTTCTTCTGCCTGCTTCTCTAGTCGGACGGCGATAGCCTTTTCGACTACTTTGCCTATCGAGGAAACCAAGCTGATGGGCCGGTAGTTCTGGGGCAACTTCCGGTCCTTGCCTGGCTTGGTGAGCATTATCACCTGGGCTTCCCGCCACCGTCGCCGGAAGTGGCTAAGTCTCAGAGTGGCATTGGCGATGTTGGTGAGCGCAGCAATGCCTTTGGAGGGAAGGTTCTTCAGCATCCTGTTGTTGATGCCGTCCCTTCCCGGCGCCTTTCTGACCTTCAACCTGCGGATGATCAGACGGATTTCCTCTGGACTGGAGGGGTGATCCGTCTCCTGGCCAGGTGGTCGACTCCTCATGATTTCGGCTGCGACTTCCACGGCCTCCTCGTGGTTGTCGTCCTCGTCTTCATGGTACCTTGCCCTAGGGACTGTGAACTCTATTTATATGCCGATAACACTGCACTGGTGGCCCAGTCGCGTACCGCGAATCTGGTTCACGACAGGTAAAAAAGTGCGGTGTATGAGGTATTGGAATGGGCAGATCGGTGGCTAATCAAAATTAATTACTAGAAAACACAGGCTATCTATGGTACTAAAAACATTGCGGCGCTATGCCAGAGGTTTCAGTGAATGGAGGTTGGATACCATGAGGAAATTCTGCTAAGTATCTCGGTGTCACTCTTGACAGGGGGATTACCTGGCAGAATCACACTGAAGCGTTAAAAACTGAATTACAAATTACATTTCGGCAACTCTACTCTTTACTACGTAGAACCTCAAAATTGAGTTTGGTTAACAAAGTTCGGATATACAAGCTGGTTATCAGACCAGCGATCACTTACAGCAGCGTGGTGTTTTCTTGCCAAAACGCATATGCGTAATCTGCAGGTTATGCAGAACAGAACCTTGCGAACCATCACTAACTCACAGTGGTATGTCTCCAACGAGACCCTTTACAGAGACCTCGACATCCCTTACCTAAGGGACTACATCAAACATCAGACGCAGTTACGTTATAGTCAAGCGGAATCGCACAGCGACCCTCTGTTGCGTGAGTCAGTAGACTACACAGTTGAGCAAGTTCGCAAGCACACAAGACCGCGGCTCGCACTGTGATGAAAATCAAATCGTGAAATTCTAGATCCAACCAAAATTACGATTTTTGCCACACACAAATTCCTAAATTAATTTTTGGATTAATTTAAAATAACCGAATACCAGTTAACAATAGCAAGGCATCCCTTTAACCGGCGCACTTTACCCGCTTTGCTCTTCCCCCTTCCTTCCTGTCTATCTTCTTCCTTTCTTTCTCCCTGACTTCGTCTGGTATTTGAGCAACCAGACCTGACAGACCTACTGACCTACGATACCTTAACAAAGAGCGAAGGTCCCACGGACCGCTCTGACGGACAATGACGAATAGAAGAAGTACTCTATAGGGCTGCCGTCAGTTCTGACATCGATTCGGACACTGCGCATTAGGAAACATAGTAACGTATCGAACTTTTCCGACCATCCATCTCGATATGAAACATATTTGTATTTCTCCAACTCATATCCGTATATTTTACACGGGCGACAACCTACCGCCAATAGCTACCTCCCGTATAAACCACGAACTGTAAAGTGCGATTTTCGGGCTTCGAGGCTTATAGAACTCTATATATGGCACCCAATGCATTAATGGAAGAGGCAAGTTCCCTAAGAGGCCGTAAACTCTATCCACGAAGCAGATATTACCGCTTCCTAAATTAATTTTTTACGAGCTATGGAAAGGTACTTCAGTATTTGAGTGTTGTTTGGCGGATTCAGGTATTACGAAGAATTACTGAGATACACACGAGGCGAGACCGAAAATGTAACAAGGTCTGGCTTTAGAAGTGATAATCGACCATTTCGAAATTAATGTATTTGTTTTTAGAAAACTTCAACTAGGATTTAAAGTGGATTTTTATAGGAGAGCTTTGAGCTTTGAGTACGGCGCGATAATGGAATTTCAGGGGCAGAAGGATATTAAGGAACACAATAAATGAACAGATAACATCGTGAAGGCTTGGATCAAAATTTTTCGGCATTTAGTCCTCTTAGATTTTTGTTTTTGACAGGATAAGTCATTCAGTTTTATTTTCTAAATTTAAATATTACGGTTTTTCTGACTCTTCAATTGGTATGATCAGCTTCATGAAACACAGGTCTCAAAACACTGTTATTAGTTTGAACTCATCACAAGAAACTTTAATTTCCTCGAGAGTGCCCCAAGGAACAGTGCTTGGACCACTCCTTTTCATTCTTTACATAGTCGATCTGGACAAGGTGGTAAAACATTGCAATCCAAAAATCTTAACTTACGATTCTTTCACTATACTTTGAAGTTGAGTCATCAATTTTCAGATAATGATTGTAGAAGGAAGATAAACCAAAATATGTGTGTAAAAATAAAAATAAAAATTAAAAAAAATGTTACCTTGTTTTATAAAGTATCCTCCCGACAAGTATTTCAGTGCGGACCTGTATTTGATCGTGCGGTCTTGGAGCACCGGCATGCCCTCCCCTGTGAGGTCTTAAGTCACCTGATTCACGAGCCCTTTGTACTACATTAACAAAGGCACGAGGGGTTGGTTGCACTCGATAGGGAAACCGATCCGCATAAAGACTCCCCCCCCCCGTAAATAAGAATCATGTCCACAAGTTCAGCATTTTCGTAAACATGTGCATTTTTCATTTCGTTCAAGCCACGCAACAAACACCACTATTCACTCACGCGTTACCGACTGACACATTGACGGAAAACAACTGAATAAAATTGTACATTGTAGTAAAAACATCGTTTCAAATTCTTTCGTTTTTTTGTTTCCGATGCGATGAACGGTTAAGGCGCATTATATCCGTTGTTGCCAATCACGAGCACATAATATTATTATTGAGACAAGGCGGTACTCAAACTTCTAAAGGGCTATGGACCTGCTCTTTTACAACGTGATGCCGAGCGGATTCAGATGATACAAAACTCATGCATCAGATTTTCTTATGGAATCCGTAAATTTGATCATATTAGTAGCGCTTTTGACCAATCGGGATGGTTTAAGATGAACAAATTGAGGAAACTGCATTGCCTATCTCTGGTACATAAGACCCTTATCCTTAAAGCGCCATATTATCTTTATACAAAACTAAGCCTCCTCTGCCAGTACGATCAAAGATCCTCTAGGAATAAACTCATCTTACTTATCCCGCGGCATTCGACAGCATTGTTCACACGCAGTTTCTCGTACTGGGCACCCAAACTATATAACTGCTTATCAAGTGAGTATAAAGAATATAGCCTAAGCAATTTTAAAAAAAGGTTAAAGATGAGTTTAAAGCAGTCGGATGGCTAAAATTTTACTTTATGCATATCCACAGGTAATTGATTGTTTCCTTTCTCTGATAAGTGTTATATTCTAAGTGTTTTTTTTCTCTCTCTCTCTATAGTTTGTGTCAATGTTTTCCAGGTCGGGTTGAAAAACAGCATAAGCTGACACTCCACCTTTTCGTCACTGTTCCTTTTAAACCAATTATTTTGTAATCGTGTGACGAATAAAGGCCATTTATTATTATTATTATTATTATTATGAACGGTTAAGGCGGATTATATCCGTTGTTGCCAATCACGAGCACAGCACATACTGATCGACCAGCCA